CTCTACTTCTAGTACTGTATACATGTTTCTCAATCTTTCTGAGTTGTTTACTCAGCTCTGCGAGGTACTCATTCATTATTTCCTCCCCTACTTGTGATGATATCCCCATCTTTAGAGAATACGGTCTTCCGTATAGAATTTCAAAAGAACTTATCCCCTCTTTGGCTCTGGGCCTTGTCCTGATTCGTAAGAGTGCCAGAGGCAAAGACTGTGGCCAAGCCAAATTTGCTTCTTGTCCCAATTTCACAATCTGTTGTTTAATCAAGTGATTCATTTTCTCTATCTGGCCACTTGATTGTGGTCAATAAAGCGTATGCAGCTGCCAATCAATTCCTAACAGCAAACTCTCTTGTTGAACTATTTTTGATATAAAGTGTCATCCCCTATCTGAGAGTCCACCCTGCTGAGAGCCCTGCATCTATTTTGTTAAAGTTTCTCACTTCAATGCAAAGACAAAAATCATTGCTTTGGGAGAAGCAAGTTTTACTGAGCTACATTTCTGCATATGATTTCTCCAAAATCTCTTCAATCATCCTCCATTTGAATATCAGATGATGTAACCAATTCAGTTTCACTTGCCAGATTTTTGTTTGTGTGTAAGACGTAAAAGAGCCAGGCGTTACAGCTTCAACAGCGCATGCGGCTGTTGGAAAACTTCCTTTAGGGCAAGATTTTTATACATACTAATTTTAGTCTACAAAGCAAGACATACAGGAGAAGGCAACATAGTTAAGAAACTTTGTTCAGCCTCCCATCAATAATAACAATCTTAGATCATTAAATTATCTAAGTTAAGATGTCTTAAATTTAGCTTTGCAGACTCCATCACAGGTTTCAACACTGTCCATGTGAAGGCAATGAGAGCGCAGTTACTAGTTTTAATTGCTGCAGCAAGGAAAGTGAGATTAAATACAGTCATTAGGGGAAAAAAGGCTGTTTCCACATAGTAGGGTTCACACTTATTTGTAGAGCTAAGTCTGATTGTTAGCTTTCAAACACTGCTTAAGTATTAACTATTTGCTAAAAAATAAAGATCACAAAAGCATATATAATACACAAATGTAAACTGAAAAAAATAGACAGTGTCCTCACAGATTCAGTGCAGGAACTTCAAATTTTATACATTTTTCACAAGCTGGTTGGTAGGATTTCAACAGCTAGACATCAGATAAGACACAATGGTCACAATGTCATTCCTCCTCACTAAAAGATCCCATATCATCTTGTTAGTACCGCCCTGACACTTCTATCCTGTTTCATTGCCTGGCAAATTTATCAGAAGGGATAGAGCATGGGTAAGATATGAGCAAAGTCTTACAGGAAGGTTTAGTACAACAAAAGCATGACAGGCTGAAGAAAGTGATTTAAAAGTTGTAGTGAAATAAAACCTATTAATCTAGCAGCAAGCATGTTGCTTGTCATTGTTCTTCAGTGCACAGGAACAAAATCCCACTCTACTGAGAAATGCTTTGCACGAATTTCTTAGTGTATTTCTGGCTGTCAGTTTTGTTGTTCTCTTTGTAGGAATTCTGAAAGATGCTCTGTATAATTGAGTGTATGTTATCCCCCCACAACGCATTCACAGCATTTTCACAGATACACAGCAAAGGATATTATTCTCTCCAGTATGCCAGCACAAACACAGACTCAAATGCCTATGTACAACATGACGTAGCAGGAGCATTTATAGCCTGGTATTTTAGGAATAAGAGAAGTTTTCAGGGCAAGGAATATCTCTAATAAAACTGATATAGGTGGGGAAAAAAAAAAATTGAGGCACAGAGGCTCTTCTACAGACAGCTGGAAAATGGAATGAGGCTTCTGGGATACAGCCCCTGCTTTACTAGGAATTAAGTGCTAGGTTTCAAAAAGGTTAAATGTATTTCATTTTTAACTTGTTCATGCAAGTGACTTCATACAGTTGTTTACAGAGCTGAGCAAAACAAAATAACTTACTGATGACTCCTAATAATCTGGTGTTAGAAGAGAGGTAAATGTGATTGTCTCCCTTTTCAATAATTGTTTTGTGGCATGAAGCTGGCCAGGCTCACAAACTCCACAGAACTTGGAAGAATGCATAGGAAACGAGTTTCTTACCCAAAGACTAACCTGTGAAAATTCATACAATGCTAAAAACCCAGAGCTTCAGATGTCCTAACCCTTGGGAAAGCAGTGATGTATGTGCTCAACTTCAACTCTGCAGCAGATCCAACCAAAAGTCCCAGAACTGAACAGCTGCAAAGGCAGAAAGCTGAAAATTAGCCTCCAGCTGCAATGCTTTTGCCCATGTTTATAGCCAGTGCTGAGGTGTCCATCCATTGCCATGTGAGATCTGACAGCAGAGTATCACTCTTGCCATGGGCATCGTCACTTGTTCCTCAGAGCACTGGGAGTTACAGGCCCATCAAACCGAACTCACTTCGCTTTGAGTTTGATTTTGCTTTCGCTTTCATCACCCTAAATCAAATGGGAATGGCAGACTGACAGGCCTTGTGAACATATACAGCAAGTCACAGCTAGAAATCTCTTTTTGAAGTTTTCAGTCTGCTCATTACAGCAGGAAGCAACAGTCCTTGGATCATGTGTCACATTTGAGCAACCCCATCCACATCCATGGATGCTCTGAAAAGCATACTGACTTGTTTCCCTGGTTTAAGAACAGATGCATTTATACAACAAGAAACCTGCCCTCACTGACTTTCACTTTGCCTACAGACTTGTCTCAGCATTTCCTTAAGACTCCAGGCTATAAAAGCACGTGTAGCAATGCAAAAGGTACTTTTTGACTTTATCATAAGTGTTTTATTATGGAGAAGAACATATTAGCTAGGCAATGATGCCACAGCTTCACAGACCCCCAGCTTAGCCCCTACCTCCCATTCTAGCACCAGCATGAGAATTCTTTGGCAGGGTTTAACCAAGCTGGGGTAGGGCAGCTTGTGCCAGGACAAAAGACAAATCAAAACCTGCCACATCAGCAGGTGGCCACAAGTTGCTATAGTCTCTAGACATGATTCTTAATGAGAACAAAGCCACCAACACTTTAAATGCACATGAGAGGATGTGATCATTAAATGAAAAGTGCAAAACCACTTCATTTCTTCTTCTTTTGCTGTATTAGACATCCCTCCAAGATAAACATATCAAATAAAAAATAACTACAAAACAAAATAATTAACTTTTGACTCTTCCTTTGGGGAACATTTTTATAACTTCTATTAAAAAAAAAAAAAAAAAGGCTGAAACACACCCAATATCATCATTCCTTGTCCTAGTCTCATCAGTATTCCATGTACAGGTAAACCCACCCCTGACAGCTTCAGCAAAGAAAGGCAGCCAGTAATACCACTCCTAGCTCTAACTTTCCATGTAAGGAGTATAGCTTTTTTTACTATGAGCATCTCTGATTTTTTGTTCGACTTTCCAAATTTCTTGGCAAAACTCAATCATTGCCTATCTCTCCTGGGTTTACTAGAGTTAACCTAAGTCTGAATTTGGCTCTGTTAGACACTGACATCTCTTTGCAATCTTTTCTAGGCGTGCACTCCATCTGCTCCAGGAACAGCTGAAAACAATGGAACTACCATATAATATCTTGAAAATAAATATCAAATGTGGTAGAAATCCATGCAGAATAATTAGAGTTACCTGAATTAATATACTAGGAAGTCTAATAAAGTGATTAGAATATTAAAAGATGAAAGGAATAAAAAAAGAAAAAGCTTTGACATGTCCATGGGTCTCCAAAGTCTGCATCAGGTAGTTACCATAACTGATAGCACTAGGTGGGCACTGTTGGTAACCAGTACCATGAAACACCTGGAACTCATAGGAGCAACTGCACCCAAACCCTTGCACTTCAGGAATGACTTACCAACACACACTGATGGTGATAAATACTTATTCTTTGCAGTTTCTGCTGAGAAAAAAAAAAAAAAAAAAAAAAAAAAAAAAAAAAAAAAAAAAAGCATATATTAGAAAAAAAAAAACTTTAAATTCATTGCAGAATTGATCTTTTTAATGATTCTCCTACACAAGTCTCATTGATCAGCTCTGTTAACAAGATGTAGTGATGTTTTGTAGAATCACCACAAACAGAAGAGTTATGAATTCTGAGATTTCAATAAGGGGGCTTTGTTAACGCTGAACTGTATGGCCATAGAGAATGCAATGCAGTGGTAAGGAGCAAGCACATTCAGCAGAGGGCTTGCAGAGCAGGTCAGGTCTGGATAGCTATGGTTATGCTATCTGTCAGCACTTATCAAATACTTCCTTATCACTCATGCTCCTGGGAGTTACAGCTGTCCCAGACTGGAGAGGAGGAGGAGGAAAAAAAAGTGCTCGGTTATTACTGCACATTCTATTTAAAGCATTTTGAAAACACACAATGCACACACTCTCTTCTATTTATGTGAGGTCTTAAAAAAGTCAGCAGCTTGAGGTAATCCAACTCCCACCATCCAAGTTTTTAAGAGGATTATCCAGAAACTGTAGACTTATTCTACTAATAAAGCTTAATAAGGTGTCTTAGACTACAGATGTGAAGGTGGGTAAGCAAGACGGCTTTACTTACATTTGTTCTCACTGAACTCCTCCAGCAGAGCCGCTGATCACCTGCATAGTACTATACAGCCCCCTGCTTTAGGTAACACACTGATGAACTTAAAATTGGAGTATAGTGTTGCTATTGGCATGAACTCATCCCATTACATTGCAAATAGCATAACTGCTCATGCCATCACGTGCTTGCCATCTAAGGAAATGCGCTGAGTCTTACATACCACACGTCAGATTTAGCTCTGTGTTAGTTACTAGCAACTAAACTCTCGTGCAGTACGACAGTTGCCAAGGTAACTACTCTTCCGGAGGGAAGATGAAACCTGACGATGTCTGTGCACACTCTCATCTAAGAGAAGAGCTGCCCTAGGTAATTTAGGCACCCCATAAATCCGAGTGGATGCTTTTGTACCCTCAACTAGAACATACCTGTCTCAGGGCTACTCAGGAAAAGGCCTGCTCTGTACAGATTTATGAATTGCGGAGCATCGGCATCGTGTAACCTCAGCTCTAACGGGGCTCCCTTTGCCCATGTGAGCATCACGTTGTTCCAGCCTGCAGAATGGAAACAAGGATTACCTTGGAGGGGCCAATACAATTGTCTCTATGACATTTTAAATAGCTGCAGGACTTACATTCTTCTCGGCAGGGTAATTTTTGAGTTATAATGCACCTGGAACTGCTAAAAATTGCACAAAATTATGTTACCTACTGTGTTTTCTGAAAACAATACAAGAGAGAATCTAATATTATCTAGGTATCTGAGGAGCAGGGTCCTTCGTGCACTGACAATAAATCTTTCAACGGCAACGAGCAAAGCAGTGAACACAAGGGAGGTAACACAATTTGACAATTTCAGAGAATTATTCAAGGTTTCTTCCCTTCTTACCTACGGACTCGTTGCGGTAAAGTACCTGCATGCACAACGCTCAGTTCTTCTGATGGAAACAAAGGCACCTCCATTAGCTCACGTTAAAAGGCAACTCAGCTGAGCAGGAGTTTGCTAGTGCAGATGTGTCTTCAAAACAGGGGCATGAGTAGAGGCTGTCAAAGTTGAAGTGCATAATCCATAAAATATATTTAAACATGTGAAGATTTTGATTTAACTGTACATATGTACCAAGAAATCAAATACAGACCTTGAGTGCATAAATGCTTTTACAATAGCTACAAGGGTTTATCCACTGAAATTAAGACTTACTTGGGCTCTACATTGCACAACATAATCTATTTGCAAAGGAGATGACATGACGGTGTAATAATACTGGGTTTGCAAATTACTACACTAGCTTCTCAAAATCTGCTTGAAAATATCTGGCTTTGATCAATCTGTTTCTTTCTCTCAACCCCTGACAATTTGGTGAAAGAGAGATTAAATGTATCGTTAACACAGACTGTTCCATACTAAGAGTCACGTACACCATATACTGAACCAGACTGAAAATCTACCCAAGGCTTAAGAATACATACAGGACATAAGTGTACCACTGTGCTTCCACAACTAGCACACTGTTTGGTATTCCTAGTCCTACTCTCCTTCCCTTATACTCCTGCATAGAAATGAACCAATCAACACTAGTTTTCCTCTGAAACTACCCTTAATATATAAATCACCTTTCATTCTAAGGCCATTATCACAATGACTCTTGTGGACTAGAAGTGCTGCATCCTAACAGAGCAAGTGGAATAGAAGGATCAGTCAAAAAGACAAAATTTAAAGCAATCAAAGTCAAGGAAAAAAGAAAAAACAAATCCTAGTATCCCTGCAGAAAATTAGAAAAAACTTAAAATTCAGTACATATACTACACTTCTAAAGATTCACAAGCCATAATGGAGGCTACTAAATGATTCCTTGACATCTTTCAAATTAATGAACGTTTTAAGCCAAATGATCTACTCCATGTTGTTATAAGTGAAACTGTGTCAAGCATCATCACTTGGGTTGAAATTCACTGCAACCTTCTTGACACTGGAAACGAGACCGCCATGACTGAAACTCTTCTACTGTTAATCTTTAGCACTGGAATAGCTTTACCCATGAGCAACATGGTCTGTTGTCAATGTTTTGCATAGACAATCTAACTTGTCACCCGTTTTCCTCATTCAAGTCTTCTCCACCTTTCCAAGGGAACATATCCGCTAATCCAGCCTACATCTGCAGCCCTTGTGGTGCAATAAACGTGAGAAATTGGTACATCTAATAAAAGTTCTAAAGCTGACTTAATAACATGAGACAGATCTTCACTGTTTATAGCAGGAGAAGTAGCACAACACAGCAGCTGTAACCCTAAGGAAAATCATATTGTTTAAAACTTATCGATTATTAAACCATTCAAGAATAAAAGTAATCTCAACTGACAAGGTAATGCCAAATCAAGAGTCAGCCCTGAATACTTAAAATGCTTCTATGGTTTTGTTCAGAGAATAATACAGCATGCCTACGAAGAGCAAGTAACACAATGAGATAATCATTTATCCAAACTAAAAGTGCATGTGTATAATAAACATTAAAAGGGCATGCATTGATCCATATATTAATCAGATTCATAACAATAGACCAATTTTTCTTTCTCTGGGGTGTGAAGAACAAGGTTATGAATCATAACAGGAACACTTAAAGATCACACTTGAATAACCTAATTGTGTACAACAATGATGGGATGAAAAGAAACTTAATCAAACTCTGAACTGTTGTTAGGTTTCATCCTCTTATATGCAGTTCTGCAACATGACTCTAATAAATTATTTGGATGGAAAAAAAAATGTTGGTTTACCTTATTAATATTCTGAACCTCCTCTGCCCATTTTCTTCATGCTTCATCTCTTCATTTGAATAGGAATAAACACAATTACAGAGAAAAACATCTGGGTTTAATGGAAGTTTCGATTCTTTTTTGTAACAGATCACATAAATATACACTTTTTATAAATTTACTGCCTTATAGAAGAACTGGAGTTTTGCTACATGCAAAAACTGTCAGCCAATCTTTAAATATTTATCTTTGAATTCCCCTGGTTACGTGTACTTGGGAATGTTTTCATAAATACATCAATAACTGTCTTGTACAGCTCATTAAGGAAGCTTTTTATCCTTTAGTGTAATAGTTCAGTTTACAGTTGCCTGTGAATCATTTTTATGGACCCCCATTAAGCATGCCCTTCAAACTGCAATTATTTGTCAAATTTTGTATATACAGAAGCAATCACCAGAGAAACCATGAAAGCTGAGAAGATGCATAAACATTTGGAACCAGGAGCTGGCCCTTCTCCAGCAGCGTATTCTCTTCTCCAAGGCTGACTCCGCGGTGTATGGGATGTACTTAATGGATCCACCTACACAAGACAGGCAGATTGTCCAAAGCGCAGGGTGAGCACACTGGCTTATATTAACTAAGACCAGATGCCTTGAATTTCCTCCTCAAATCTGTTATCAGCCTTTCTCTGAGATCCCAGAACATCACTCCCTCACTTGATGCAGTTTTACCACTTCCCTCATGTCCTTGTATACTGAAGAGGGGACTTGACCACAGTGAAGAGCTGCAGCCACTCATGTTTCTTGCATAATCCAAAGCAACAAACATGAGCGAGATTCTGATATAGAGGAAACTTACTTACAGGGATGTTGCCCTTCAACCTAATATACCAAAGTTATTTTTACTTCCTAGAACTTCACAAAATATAGTCTTAGATAAGTAAGTTTGGAACGTTTTTGGTTTTTTTTTTCCTTTTTTTAAATACTGTAAGTATGCATATGTGCTGAAAATCCTAGAGTGCTTCATTCAAGAATTAGCTTCCTGGAAATCTTCACTAGCATCCTATTGTATTTTTCCCCAAATCTAGTCCTGTAATTGAGTTTTTGAAGATATTGTCATGTGCCAGATCAATATGAATTTGGTCAAAAGCTTGCCTTACAGTGAGCTGAAAAGGGTATGCAACAGGTTAAAAACTCAAGTCCACTGCGTTAACAGCTGTGATTGCACAAACACTCTGTAAGGGAAACATAAACCAAACAATAGCACCCAAGGCTACACTTGATTGATCCGTCTAGTCAAGACAGATGGCAAGAATGTCTAAGACAAGGTAAGGAGATGAAAAGGAAGAAAGAATTGCAGTAGACTTTCTTCCAACTGGTTACTGCTCTTGCTGCCAAGGACAGGCAGCTATAGAGGCTAGTGGCTTACCAGTGTCTGCAGAAAGCTAAACTGTAAGAACAAATTAGATTAACATGATTAATTGCCCAATTTGGTGTATTCTGACCCACTGCTGTTGGAATCCATTAAATATTTCACTGACAAATCTCACCTTCTGCAAGAGCCGTGGGTCACGAGAAGGTAACATCTAATGTCTATTGCAGTTAGACTGACTATATGCATTTCTGAATGTCAGCCTCATGAAACAAAAATGCTCCTGTAACAATACAGAATACATTTTAACATACACAGACGTGGCTGTTGTAGCTTCTGCCACTGTTGAGCACCACATACTACATTCCTCCTGGATCAAGTCAACTTGTGACTGATGTTATAAATACCAAAGAATATTCATGGAGATTTTCCACATACTGAAAAATCCTACTGCAACTTAATTGTACAGCATACCTATGTTGTACAGGACAGGAATCAGTTTGCTGCTGTTGACATTTTTAGCAGTACTGGGGAGTGACAGAAGGACTTCAGTTACAATGCTGAAGAGAAACAGTGATGGGTGGTGGTGGCTGGTGATAGCTGCATTGTGCCCACACCACTGTGTGCTTCCTTCGTTCTGATATTACTGAGAGATTTCATTGCTCCTCACCTGTTCATGAAGGCAGCAATAACAGATAATAAAAGGTAAAAAACTGGAGAACAAAGGGAAAAGCTCATTCAAAAGTGAAAGAAAACGTACCTTCTTATCTTCCAAGGAGGTTTTCTTGCTTGATCCAATCACTTTATGCTATGTTTAAAAAGTTAACTCCAAATTTTGTATTAGTATTACTGCTTGCTACATAGATCATGTCTGAAAGACTGTTAACATGTTTTTAAACACTTCAGCATCCACTGCTGCCCGTTTATATTACCTAAAATACATTTGCTTGTCACACTTCAGTGGGTGGAGGAAGGGACTTTGTTGTAACACATATTGTAACACATCTCCAACTCTATCTGTACAGTAGCTGGTTTTTTCTTGAATACTATAACAATTTTTCTAATTACCATATTCTTTGGGGTACTGCAGACAAGTGATGCCCATTACTAACAGCTGCTGTCCATAGCAGATTTTCCCATAACATGAACAGAAGCTTTTCATCTCAGGGGGCATTAAAAGCTCTTACCTGGGTTCCAAAATTCCAGGAGTATTTCAAAGCACAGCAACACAACTTTCATGGCAACAACTCTGCACCCTTAACTCTGTAGCCTTGTACTATATAGAAGACAAGGATCTCTCGAACTCTGAAACAGAGCAACGACCCAGCACATACGCAGAGATCCTGATGAAAGCAGCAAGCAGTAGCACCACTGCAGCCCTCTGAAGTCTGGCGATCATATAGATTCCCAAGCAGTTGCTAACAGCACGTTGGCTAACTCCAGAGCCACTGAGCAGATCTGGAAAAAGATTAAAACTCAGTAACCAGCAATGCATTGGGACCAAGACCTAGTAGCAATTGTTAGCAAAGATAAAAATACAGCCATTTGTGCAGGAAAATGGTTTGTGTCTCTTGCTCAAATGTTTTCTGAAGTGAACTTACTCTTGTAACTTGAGACTCTTCTCCACATCATTTGCACTTTGTCCAAGTCTGGTTGGAATTTTGTCTCTAGGACAGCTGTTAGCCTTTACATGCAACTAGGGGGGGAGGGATAAATCAATAACTAGCATAATTTAATCTCTCACAAGTTTCTTTCTAAGTCAAATTCACATTCAAAGCTGTCCACAAATTTGAAACATGTATTATTTATCAGTCTTACAGAGTTGAATAATGATCTTGTTGCTACAGAGCAGCGTTCATAGAAGATTCACAGCATAAAGGAGGAAAAACTCTCTGAAGAAAGTTGCACTTTCCTACCATTAATTTCACGATGTAAGAGGCAGGGTGACAGCAATGTTCTGCACTACAAACCCACCTGTATGCAGGCATCCTGGGAACCGTACCCTTGTGTGTAGAATGCTGGTATTCACCTAGAAATAAACTTCAGAATAAACCCACAGCCTGGGTGCTTAACCATGAATTTCCAGCAAGCAGTCGCAATGGTTGGAGTTGAACAGCAGACAGGACCCGCAACTGCCTGCAAGGTTTTGTCTTGGTCTAAGCTTGTCTTAGCTTGCCATCAGTAGTGTCATGAAGCAATGTACAAGGTGACACCAGTAGAAAAGCCTTGCCCAAAGCTGGTTTTATAGAATAATGATCAAGGTCCCAATAATTTACTGATCTGAATGACAGCACATCTGGACAGTGTGAATCTTGGTCGTTTCCATGAGGAACATTACTGCTTAAATAGTCTCTACCACCTCTCTTAGAATAAAGTTCCTTTTCCAGCTGAATTTTCTTTTTAACAGAGTTCTGCTCTGTGTTTTTGAAGCTCTTTTATTTGGGGGGAGGGAATGACAGAGGGGAGGTTGTTGGGTTTATTTGCTTTGGCTCTATATCAAGTTGCTAGCAAGATTACCCAAAATACATGTTGAACATGTGCTGTGGCGATTATTACAGTGGCAAACTATATAACACCTAAGAAACCCCCAAAGTAAATAGTCTCCATCAATAGATGTTGCTTTCTATACCCGACGCAAACAAGAGCTACCCTCTGTGCAGCTTTTTCTTACATTGAATTTCTGGTCAGAGAAATCACTCCAAAAAATCACAAACAAGCACCTCCAGTCAAGTGTTGTCATAACTGCCATCTCAAGCTCCTCCAGGCCCATACACCTATTTGTTCCTGTGAAGCAGGAACCGGACAGTGCTCCACACTGCAGCGATTCATGTGGTGCTACTGATGCTTCCTCCAGGCTCTCAAACACGGCTTGCAAGGTTCTGCATGCCCTGCACTCAGTTCAATACGTCAGGCACCTTGGAGGATGGCAGCCACAGCCCCAAGGCCATAAATTTCTTCAATGTTTCAAGAGCTAAGAGTGTGTTTGTTCTATATGTTCAAATACCACATGGAAGCTCAGTGACCTATACATATTATTTAGAGCAACAGAGCATTTAACCCAGCACTTATTGCAGATCGGCTAAAGGGTTATGCGTTCTTCTAGAGTAGTTAAAAAAAAAATAAAAATCATCTCTTCTTCTGGTTTGTGTGCTACACAGGATGTGTTCCAGAGACTTTACACACCAGCATTGCTATGAATTAATAAGTTGCTGCACAAGCAAGCAAACTGAATCAATGCACTCCTGTACCACCTCTACATTATTTTTCATAACTATCAAAAAATGAAGTGTCATATACAGAGACTTGTTTTCTATTGCTTAATTCATCACTTCCACAGCCACAATTCCTGGTGTAGCGGGTGACACTGTATAAAGTAGCCTACCACACACTCCCCTAAAATTAGCAGCACGGTAGTTCTGATTTGTTTCACTAAAATTATGAATGTTAAATGATCCTTTTTATATCTTTTTCTTCTACAGCTGCACTGCATCCAAAAAACCTTTTATTCCTCACACTGTGTAAATTTATTAATGCACTTGCTATGCTATAAAAATTGTAGTGAAAACTACAGGTTGCAGTGGTACAAACAGTAGCTCCTTGTAGCTTTAAATTCAGTGAAATTTAATTATACAGTTCCACTGCACAGAAACCAGTGGACTGGCAGTTTCAGTAACACCAACCAAAAATACTTATTATTAGGATCTGCAAGTTCAATGTGAAACCAGTACTGCGAAGTCTTCATCTTTCTCTGAATACTTAAGAACAGACAAAAGGCTGTAAGGGTTGTAAAACACTGAAAGTGAAATCGAAGAGGGACATATAGTACAACATTGGAACAAATACAAGACCACAGATATAATCAGATAAACAATTCTGTTTCATGTTAACTTGGAGAGAAATCAAATAAAACAAAGCAGCTATTAGGTACAGCTTCATATTTCTCCAAAATTAACAAGACTTTGGATTCTTTGGACAAGGTCTTCTGCTGCAAACTTAAGTCTCTTTTTAGTTTTGCCTGGAAAGTGTGTAACATCAGCCAGACTATGCAAATGTAAGGTTTCTATACAACGTGCCATGGGAGAAATTTTGTATTTCATTTACCATCACCTTATGTCTGTGATTCCTCCACTTTGCAATTTCAGCAAGGAATTAACGTTCACTTGAAATGTGAGTGGTTTTTAAATCAGCCAAGTGTCACCTCTTCTATGGAAGCGAAGCAACATGGTTTTAATTCAATGTCGATTTGGCTTCTTGACAATTTGTTGCTTTTGAATAAGCAGAAAAATAAATTAGTCATGTGCAGTGCTTTGGAAGCAGAAATGCTCATTCTAAAGCTGAGAGCCATTAATAAGCATTCACAGCCTTACAAATGAGTAATTGTAGGGAACCCAAATGCTGGCCCAAATTTACAGTATAAATTTAAACCTATAATTTAGTCAACAAATTTACTAGAATGTAGGACACAACAAATTAAAAAAAAAAAAAGATATTAGAAGATGCATATTGAATTGGTGTCAAATTTCTCATCCAGCTTTCCATATTTTCTCTATAAAATGTATCAAATTAATCCTTTGTGTTTCTTTCAAAGCCAAGCTACACTCTTCACTTGCGGTATTTCAGGTTTACAGCGGTGTGACAAAAGTCTCTGCTTGCTTTGTGGACTTGAACAAAACTAATCTAGAATTTGCTGTGTTGCATTTTAGCATTAGAAATATACCCAGTGTAAAAACCAAGCATTAATAATGAGATTTAATATCAGTATTCTAATCCAGAATATTTTTTACAGAATATTAATTCTTCCTGCCTAATCTCTCTGTTCTGTTTCAGCTGAATTTTTTGTTTACAAAATCCAGATGATCCAAAGGCAGATGAAACAATCTACACATTCTCCTACTTCATAATGCTGTCGGACATGACCTAATTAAATGCTTTGTAAATATCTTATCCATCCTGCTGCCAATACAACATTGCTCCTGGAAAACTATATGCTACTGTTTTCTTCCATCAATTTTTCACGTGTCAAGCAATGAGTCTTTTGAGACCAGCTTTTTATCTAAATAATCACATTGTTAAGGTTTTTCCCCTATTATCGATTTAATCTTTCCTTTCCTTCCAATTTATCTGTTTTTCCTCATTGTGCTTCTTTATGTCTCCCTAACTGCAGGAGAAAACAACAGAAGGCTGTTCTGAGTTGAGCTCTCGCTTAAACTATTCCTACCCAAGCCATGCCTGTTAGCAACCTCACAAGTTTCCCAACAGTCCAGAACAGTTCTGATGGGCCCAGGTTTGCTCATCTCATTCAAAAAGTATTTCAAACCCTGATCTGAGAGTGATTATTTCCTTTTGCAGTCAGCACTATTTCACGTTAACTATAAAGTCCGACTACTAGTGGCTGAATATTAAATTATAAGGTAATGAGGTAAGGTTACTCTCTTGTAACGCTCCCCTGCACACATTTTCACAAGGACTTGCACTTTAATTTATGGTAATATGTCAGTGTACACATAAATAAATTGTATTAAAGTAAAATGAAACCTTGGTAATGAGACTTCACTTCCTATTCTAGCATTAAAAGCTTCTTGCAAAGGTATGAAGAGAAACCTAACAAAACAGTTTTTTTGGAAATTATTGCTAACAGGACCTGTTGTGCTGACAAGACTTCACAGCATGGAAGATTGGTATGTTTACTATTTTTGAGAAAAGACACTATGTGTTTCTACCTCACCTCACTTCTGCTTTACATACTCAAATAACAGACTTTCCTATGGATAACTTCCCTGGTATTTTCCCAGTGGGTAGGTCACAAAGCTCAGGCTCCTTT